CAATGTACCTCTTATCACGCCTTTGAAAAACCTTGCTTGATTGCCCCATGTATTTTATTGTACATGTGATATCCAACAAACACAACTACTTCTCTGCAGGAAGCAAATCAGATGTTTACAAGTTATAGCTTTATTCAGATGGAAAATGTATTCACAATCCACATGGGTCTTGCCTGCATTTTCTAAATATTTTCTTGCCATTCTTGTATCAATATTGCTGTTAAATATTTCAGAAGATAATGCATGTTTGCTAATTTAATTTTCTGCTGCAGTGAGTACATTATTGACTTAATGGGTGCTCCAGGCGCTTTAATTCCTTCTGAAGTACCAAGTGCTCAGCTTCAAAGTTGTGGCTTAGATGTAAGAACCATGACACCCATTCAGGATATAGTAGAAAATACACAAGTAGAATTTGGGGGACCAACTGAAACACTATCCGTTATCCAAGGAGCATCAAATGTCGGCAGGTCAAGTTCTCTACCATCTTTTACTGGAATTGAATCACAGAGAAATTGTTGGACTGCTTCAGGGAACGCCCAAGCTAAGCAGTTTGAGCTGAATTTGGAAATCTACAATCACTGGTCAAAACAACTGAAGGGTCATCAGGGGCTGCCCTAAACCATCTGCTGCCCAACAGATCCAAGTTGAAGATGTTTCCAACCGTGTTGTTAGTGAAGAAAAAGACCAGAATTTGCCCGCAATTCTTTAAGTCAAGGTCCTCATGATCTGGGAGAGCAGGAAGTGATTGAAAAGAAGCAGTTATTAAAGCGTGAGATGGTGTCTGAAGTTCAATGTCAACCACCAGCGTACTTGTCAGACCATAAGCAGGCACTCATACCCTTTTCTGGATTGCAGCTATCTAGCACTTTCCCGTGTAGCATTGACCTTAAATGTTCTCCTGCGGTATTGGTAGCGCAAAAGCAGGGACAGCCACCCAATAGGTCTAATGAATGTAATCCTTTAGGAAAGTTGTCTTCTAATACTAACAATTCAGGACATGTGCAAGTCAGAGATAGAACTGATTTAATGATCCAACTGATGATCGACCAATCAACGTAAAACAAATTACCACCTGCGAGCAATTTGATCAGCGAACTACTCAAGACGAGCAAATTGATCCAGTGCTGGGTGAAGTTGCTGAGTGGGAAATACCATGGGAAGATCTGCAGATTGGTGAACGTATTGGCATTGGTATTTCTTTAGAACTATTCTCACTGACTTTTAAGGTTGACAGGCTTATATGATTTCCTGTTAGTTAAGCATCTCATGGTCATTTTTATATGACACTTTAGGCAGAATTTAAATAAGTTGACTGTTTCCTAGTCAATACTCGAGGCATCTTGAATTTTTGATACAGCTAACTTGAAGGATGTGTAACAAAAGGTTCTAATCAAGATAAAGTATGACATTCATATATTGTTTGTTGTGCAAAATTTTAGCTCATTGAATTCCTGTCTTGCAGGATCATATGGAGAGGTGTATCGTCAGATTGGAATGGCACTGTAAGTATATCTTTGGTGTGCATGTGCATTCATTGCAGCTATTTTGTTTCAATAAATTGGAAAACACATGGTATGCCATTGTTTGACGTCATCTGCTTTAGCAAAGAGAGTTTTTCAATACTTTTTTAGTGCCGAAGAATTATGTAACATATCCAGATAAGGCTATTTGGCTGTCTTGTTGAGTTCTTACTCAATCCTGTTTTTAGCTTTGTGCTGTCTGTCAAATGTATGATCTATCCACTGAATCAACTGTTAATTGCCGTTGAAAAGCAAGTATTAATGTCAAATCTCTTTGCTTGTATAGCAAGACATATTTCACCTTCTGCTGGCATTTTGCACCACTTTGTGTTGTCTGATGAATGTGATTGCATAACAGGAAGTTGCTGTGAAGAAGTTTATGAATCAAGATATCTCAGGTGATGCATTAGCGCAATTCAAATGTGAAGTAAGTATGATAATGGTTTTGATTCTTTCTTCTTATTCTGTAGTTGAAATGTTTTCTGATGCTACAACTGTTCCTTCACATTTTATTAGGTTGAAATCATGCTGAGATTGAGACATCCAAATGTTGTTCTCTTCATGGGAGCAGTAACTCGTCCCCCAAATCTCTCGATATTGACGGAGTTTCTGCCAAGGTTGATGTCCCATTCAAATTGAATCGCTACTACATGAAGCTCGTTTATTTCTTTTGATGGGGTTGCTAATATGTAATATCTGACGGATTGCTTTTTAAATGATACTCTTTGTGCTGTCAAAGTGAAAGTATGAAAGTAAGGAGAATTGATGAAACGAACAAACAAAAAATTGGCTAAAGAAGAATTGACTAATCCAATCTGGTCTTTTATTTTATATTAAGCTCCCAATCGTTTGATACTTAGTATGTTATGGGATCTAAACATTTGCTAACAAATAGCTGATATAAACTATCTTTACCCACATCCTTTGCTCTCGTAGGCTTTGATGGGCTTTAGGTAATCTGCTGCAGTTACTTATTGTTAATTATCATCTTCGTTACAATGCAAAGTTAAACTTTGGCCATATAAAAGAATTCACGGATAAGCACAGGACAATTTACAAATTAAACACCCCTATATTTGCTGTTAGAATGTGGAAAAAAATGTAGAAGGGGTGGCTGTGCATCAGACTTCTGCCATGAATGTCAAACTTATAAATCTTTTCATTTTGGCATGCTCAGTACTTGCAAACTAGCTGAAAGGGCTTTCCGATCTATTTAGTTCCAGTTATTAAGCCATGATATATATGCCTTTTGGTGTCTACTCTGATCCACTCCTGAGCATCTGCTTCTTGCTTTTCCTTTTTTCCCGAAAAGTACGACTTCTTTGTCACCTGTGCTTAATTTTGTATAATCAGGGCTTTTTAGAAAATTAGTTTGAAGCATAATATCATGGCCATTTTTACTGTAGCAGCTGTTGTTGGCTTTATATGTTTATTTTAATTTTAATTAGCTGTTTCTTTAAACCTAATACAACTCTGAAATATATCAATTGGAGAACTTTTTTGCCTTGTTGCATATCTCCTGGCATATGGAGTGGAGGGATTACGAGTTATGATTAATTGAGATGCTTCCTGAATATTCAAGATGAATTTGTTTCTGCTGAAAGATTTGTTTCTAGAGACTATATAACATGGCAAAATATCTTGATAAGGCTTTTTTTTTTCCTGCTCATGTGATGCAGGGGAAGCTTGTTTAAGCTATTGCATCGTTCAAATGTCCAAGTTGATGAAAAGAGGCGGCTGCGAATGGCTCTTGATGTGGTACAAGACTAGTTGGAAAACCCTGTTTCCTTTGAGTCTGTTATCAAGTTTTCTTCTTGTAAATATTGCTATTGCTATTTGTTCCAGGCCAAGGGAATGAATTATTTGCACACAAGCAATCCTGTCATTGTCCATCGAGATCTGAAGACCCCAAATCTCCTTGTTGATAAAAATTGGGTTGTTAAGGTTGTAAACGACTCGAGCGATTGAGTTTCTATCAATATTTGTTAGGATTCATCACTGATTTATCCTTAATATGTTTTCCCTTGTTTGCCTACTTGATCTGCAGGTTTGTGATTTTGGGATGTCACGGATGAAGCATCACACATTCCTCTCTTCAAAGTCTACAGCTGGAACTGTAATGCTTCTCACTTTAAGAATATTGATCAGTTTATTCTGTTTATTGGGCATTTTTGCCTGCATTTTTTGCTGCCAAGTTTCATGTGATCTACTAAAGGTTTGCAACACAATGCAGGCTGAATGGATGGCCCCAGAAGTTTTGAGGAATGAACCATCCAATGAGAAGTGAGTTAGTTCTGCAGTTCCAGTTCCATTTTTGTTGCAAAATTTTCAGTTTGAGTTGATTTAAAAGTAATTGTATTGGATGGGACTTTGTTTGGATTGCAGATCGGATGTATACAGTTTTGGTGTGATATTGTGGGAGTTGGCAACGCATAAGGTTCCTTGGACAGAGATGAACTCCATGCAGGTGGTTGGAGCTGTTGGTTTCCAGGGTAGACGCCTCACTATTCCAGATCGTGTTGACCCTGTGGTTGCAGAAATTATAAGCAACTGCTGGGATTCGTAAGTTTCTAATTCTGTACTCATCTTCTGATTTCCATGGCGCTCATGAGCGGGTTTTTCAGATTGTATGGTGGGGGTGGTTTTTTTGATATACTGAATGTGGTGCGTGTTTCTGCAGTAATCAAAATGCACGACCATCATTTAAGGAGATCATTACCCGTCTAAAGGGTCTGCAGCGTCTAGTTCAGAAAACAGATACAGAAACCAAACCGCAACAAGGTTGAAGGTAGGTGATTGTTGTGATGATAGCATGACTTTGTTCGTGTGCTCGAAGAGCCAGAGCGGAACTTTTTGTTTCAGAAGCTTGTAGATGCAAAGAAATACACAGGACATAGGATTGGGAAGTGTTGGTTCAATCGAAGTGGGGGCTCAACACAGCCAGTTCAGTGTTCAGAAGCATATGTTCTCCGCAGTCAATGACGCACAAAGAAGTGCAGTGGAGGATATAGCAGCTGATGGCAGGTCAAAAGTAAATTATGCGCGGAGTTGTCACACAGTTGAAAGAAAGGGGAAAAAAAAAAAGCTCAATTTCTTCTTCTTATTAGTAGGCGTAGAGATCAACATCTGTAGAATGATACATGTGTGAGAAGTCTATTCAATAAGACATATGATGGGGTAATAAAAAAAAAAAAAAAAAAAAAAAAGAGAGGTTCTCAATCTGTGGAGGTCGTGAGGAAGCAAAATGTAGCTTCACTTCAGCAAGTGTAAACATCTGGTCTCTGCTGGTTGTAACAAAAAAAGAATAAAAATCAATGAATGTTTATCTTTCCGGAGACTTGCCTCTTTTTTTTTCCTCTTAAAGTCATTTTCTTCTGTGATGCTTGATTTGAAAACTTTGGCATATGGAAATGCTATTATTCTCTTCTCGAAAAGAAACAATTGCTCATTTTTTTTAACCTGTCTCATCTGATTAGTGAGGAAGCTAGCCGCCAATCCGTCTATGTGCTCTGCTGTTTCTACTCTTGGGTAGTCATTTTGTCCTTACCGGGGCATTAGTTGTGTTTAAATTAAATGAGGTAAAGTAAAGCTTGGTTAATTCCGACCCAACAAAATCAACGTCAAAGAAAGATGTCCGCATCCTCTCAATCCCTCTGAACGCTGATCGGGCAAGAAACAAGAAAGATTGAACCAGAGAGATATTTCGTTTCTTCAACACTAATTTATCAAAATGGACACACCTGCTAGAGGACTCGTACTGTCCCTTGTGCTAAACCAAAACAAAACTGCCAGACAAAATCAAGAGCAGCAAAAATGGCCACAACACTCTTTCACTCACCGAAACCACCCCTCGTACAGGCACCACCCGCCACCAGCTACCAACTAACCACACCCTCAATTCCCAGAGCTCAGACCATCCCAAAAACCAATCTTCACTCCAGATTACCCTCGGCATCATTCAGAAACAGCAGCAGCATCCCGCCAGAATCATCAGAAACAGGAGGAGGATGCCCAGTCCCTCTGGACCAGCAGCCCATTAATGAGTACAAGGCGCTCTCCAATTCCTTCCCATTTTCGTGGGCCTCGGCTGGCTTTGTTGAGTACAGCTCCCGCCTCTTTGTCGCCGGAGCTGCCTTTGCCGTCCTCGTCGGCCTACCTGTCTCCTGGTTCGGGTCGGTTGGACCAGAGTCCGACCCTATCAAACGGGTCCTGGCTGGCGTTTCAAGTGGGATTCTAGTGATGACTCTTCTGGTTGTGAGGATGTACTTGGGCTGGGCTTACGTCGGCAATAGATTGCTCAGTGCCACTGTTGAATGTAAATAATCATATATATATATATATATATATATATATATATATATATATATTTTTTTTTTTTAATTTCAACTTTTAATAAGTTTGGTGATTCAATTCCAATTTCAGTTTGATATTTTATTTGATATTTGTGTTGCTTTTTTTTTTTTCAAAAAAAAATTATTTTGCAGATGAAGAGACAGGGTGGTATGATGGGCAGGTAGTTCCAAAATCACCTTTTCTTTTATTTATTTCTTTTTTTGAAGTCTTCGGATTTGACCCACTTTTATGCTGTGCCCATAGAATATGATAATGTATGAACTAACCATGGGATTTGATCCGATTTGCCTCGGCAGATGTGGGTGAAGACTGCTGAAGTTTTGGCTCGTGACCGGCTTTTGGGCTCATTTTCAGTAAGCGCTTTAAGGAATTTGATCCTAAACATATGACATGATAGAGACTTCTATTAGTATATCATGTAACAATATAGGATGTTTGAATAGTTGAAGCCATCTGACTACAATTTTGTGTTGGAAATACTGAGGAAGATGGGATTCGCAATAAAAGCATAAACTAGGCAATAAAGGATAAACTATCAAATGTTACGGGTTTTTCCTGCCATTATACCACCATGGCCTGATTCCCACATCCCTGTAATAAGCCAAAGTTTATGAAAATAACCTCGATTTGGTTAATTTGAGGTACCTCTATTCGAAGTTAAAGGGCCCTTTTTGATTGGTTGTATGATTTTTTTGAGATGTTAAATGGGTTTTCTTGAATAAAAGGGAGAGGAATATCCAACTTGGAATGAAATTAATAGTAACAATAACAATTCTATCAAACTTGTTGCCGGTTTAGGGCAATTACTGGAACATATCCTGACCATTCTTTCACTGAGTACATGCCAATATTCTTCATGTATTACCGGTGATCAGCTGATTTATACCTACAAAATAAAGTGATATAGCCCTTAGGATGGTACAATCCTCAAAATGTGTCAATGACCATTCTGTGCTCAAGTTGGAGCTGATCTCTAGTTTGATCTCCCCATGAATCCAGCTCTTGACAAGTTATTTTTGAAGCTCTGAATCTACTCTTTTTTTTTTTTTTTTTTTGTGGTCGTAGTTAGCTTTCCCAGTTTCAGTTGTCAAACTAGTGGATTCTTATGCTGATTTTCTCCTCTTATGGTCCAAGCTGAGTTTCCATCCACGCCTACAAAAGTTTCAGTTTGGTGGCTGCATAGATTTTTCCATAATGGGATACAGTTTTATTGATTGGCTTTCTCCAACTTATGTGATCTTAGAGCAAAAGCAAGTATAGTCAGGTGATATCTGTGACTTCTACCAAACAGAACGCAAAATGAACCCCTTCAAGACTTTGTTTCTGGATACAGACCAAATCTCTGAGTTAGTTAAAATGTTCTCTACATTGTTCTTTTCTCAGTTTAATAAATTTTTAATTACAAGATTATTATCTTACGATATCTTCATATATGGAATCAACCAAAATATGACTTGTCACTTTCAAGACCTTGGTTCATGTACGTGTAGAAAGATTATCTTTTGATAGGACTTTCTCACACAATGGCACGAGTAATTTCACCGTTATGGCTTCCTTACAGGTCAAGCCCGTGCTGAGTAGATTAAAGAAACTCTGGTGACTCTTGCAGTATCATTGTTTATATGTGTCGTCATCTTTTTGAACGTGGAGGGTAGCCAAGATAGGTCTTACAAGACTTCTGAGGAAGCTGGTGGTAGAGCTGTACCTGGAGTCTACAATGATGAGTCTGCTAGAACCTTTGAGCCTGATGCATTTTGTGGCGAACCTGCTATTAACTATCTTAAAAACTGTCAGCTTTTGTAAATATTATAGAATGTGAATTCCTCCTTTACTGTACAGATGTGACTGATGTTGTCATATAGGATCCCTGTAATCTCTGTAAATTGGTTCCCTGAAATTTGGCAAAAATTGTAGTTGGTAGTTGGTGGTTTGGAAAATGCCTGTGGAAGCATAAGTTCCAACATGGGTGAACAGAAAAGAAGCACAGCTTTTGCTAGATGTTGAACATCCACTATAATGATTACGTGAATTCTCAGCATGAACATGCCTCTTTTTCTCAAATTCTTTTGCATCAGTAGGTTTGTGCTTTTGGATGGTTCATGAATGCTTGACGGATTCCTGCAGCAGTGGATATTGGGAGCCTATTTGCAATCTGGCTCTTTACCAAAAGCTTGAGTGATCGTTGTAGCTGCTGCAATTGGAATGTGGAGAGCACTCACAAGTTGACTGTTGTGAAAACTTGGTTTTACGGTGGCTTTTGCTGGCATTTCCACCTAGCAGCCGGCCTTACATGGGATACTGGATGGTACTAAGTTTAGTTTGGCTGCCATTTGATATTTCATATGCAGCCCGTTTTTCCAGTTCACTTTGTTTGGCCAGCCTTGTGATGAAAATAAACATGCACCTATACATGAAAGTTACCCAATCTTGCACAGTATAGCCACCTTTATCATCATTTGCACCAAATGACTTTGTTGACGGATTTTAAGACCTGAGAAGAGCAGCCACACGTTTGGAACTTGGAAAGACTAATACAATATGATCATGTCTTCTTCCATTTGTTCTCCCTTCTGTCGTGATATGTGTAATTCAGAAATATCACACGGTCTTATTTTGATGGGTCATCCTAGGACACATGTTTTGCTTTTCTTTGTGTGGTTCGTGTTTGATGTCAACACTGCTACTACTCTTAAAGAACCCAAATTTCGCATTTAAGTATCGTGTACCCAACTACTAATTAAGAAATAAAACAGCTTGGTTTTGTATTTTCTAATTTTTAGTGTAAGTAAGAGGTTTGAAGTCGTGCCTGCAGTTCAAAATAGTAGTTGTTTAAAATAAAGCGTTGTTAGTGTTTTTATCCAACACAATTTGCAAATTCTTATGAGAAAAAGATGGCAACAAAAAAAAAAAAAAAACTTTTAGCCACCAAAATCATAGTGGTTAGATGAGCTGATGAATGCCTAGTTTTTTTTTTTTTTTTTTGTATCTTTTTCTTATTTTTGACTCAAGAAAAGCTCTAAACCTGAAAAAGGGTAAAACGAAAAAAAAAAAAAATTAAGAGTCAAATTACTGACCTCAGTATCATCTGGTACCTATTATCTAATAGGACTTTTATCATCGATTATTTTTCTAAAAGAATGTATAGTATACATGAAGATCACTATACCACACTTTTGCCCAGCACTTTCTCCTCCTAAAATTAGAAATTGAAGGTGACAACAAAACGTGCACGACATGCTCTCATCCAATGTCTAAATCCAGTTGCAAATTGCCTAAGTTTAATAAATTAAAGGACCTAACAACAATTAACTAAAACATCCGGGTCAAAATAAAAAATGCAAGAAAATCTTGCCCAACCAGCTAGGGTCCACCATTGAAGAAGAGATTAAGTAGATACATGCATCTTCCCAAGTTCTGCATCTGCCCTTTCCAATTTTTAATACAAAGAAAATCCGCTTAAAGGCCAAAACCAGTTACTCCCACCTCACAACGATTGCTAATAAAGTCACCCCTCTCATGCTCTCTTTTCTCTCTCCAGAAAAATTTCTAGTATTTTTTTTTAAAAGAATCAAATTATGGGAAGCATAAATATGGCTCCTCGTGTCTGCACCTGTATTTGTCAAAGTTTTCTTCTTCTTGTAACTCTTCTTCTCCTCCTTCCTCAGACTATGCAATATATAGCTGCCTTAAAACTATCGAACTTCCTTAAAACCTTCAAAAAGTGTTACAGGTTTGTTATCCATCTTAACTGTTTCTTAACTTAGTTTTGCTTTATTTGTTGCCATGATAATATTTGATTAATGGGTCTTTTTTTTTTACCCTTTTTTTCCTTTTGTGGAAAAAGTTTTGATCTTTTCCTTTCTTTATTTCTTATTTGGTTTGTTTTGTATGTGGGCTTGTTACATTGGTAGTATATATAAACTGTGACATTATCAAGATGGCATTTTAGAAAAGTTTGGTTACTGAGGGCTGAGTATGAAAGATAAATTAAAATTTTCAAGATTTATAATTATTGTAGTTGCTAATCAACTTCTGATGCTTTAGGTTTATCCCCCGTTTATGTGAGTTATCCATTGTTGAGTACTTTATTTCACTTATTGCTGATCAAAATATCTCTAGAGACAATCATGATTGCTAGGGGAAAAAATTCAGTTGTTTATGAAATCAAGTATGGGGGTTAATTGTCATAATCACAAGTCATAAGTTCATAGGTTGGTTTCTTAGGTAGTATTCTGTTTAAGCGAGTTAACCAGATTCTTGGCCTTTCCCTTGAAGCTGGATAATTTATGAGAGTTTGGAGTATATGGTGATTGAAAGATCGTTTAAGGTTTGACTGTAAGTTACTTTGAGTCCAAAAATTAAGAAATGCAATTTTTTTATAGCTTTTACTAGGGCATTGGTTGTATGATAGCTGAGTCCCACTTGGAGATGCTTGGTTGGCTTACTGGTCTTCATGCCGTGATGTTTCCTTAGTGGCCCTTCTCCAAAGCACTTATAGTTGTGGTCTCCCTAGTCGAAACAGTTGCTCCACATTAACTAGTACTTTGATTCCTTTTATTTATTGAGTAATAGAAGCTTAATCATCCATAACTTTTAAATATAGGTCTCTTTTCTTCAAGCTCAAGCTTGATGTCATTTTTTGTTGTAATTTTGCTTGAGTGATAACTGGAAATGTGGCTTTTCTTTGGATAGCAGGAATTAGGATTGGTAAGGCGGGTTAACAGAGTTTGATTTCAGGTCAGCAGTGAAGTCTCAATTGACCGTAATGACTTATTGCCTTCAGACCATAAGATCGTTGAGATAATAACCACATTCACTGAGTTAATTCCAGCCTTGTCAAGTACCTTTCTGGCTATTGGCTGCTGCCAATTGATGACTCTGTATGCGCTTGTGCAAAACAAAAGCTCAGTCTAAGTCATGCAGAAGGGATAGATTGCATCTTCTTCGGCTCTTTTGGTAACCTAAATTTCTATGATTAGCTTATGAGGAATCATTCCACACTTGCCATCTTCCGTATCCAATATTACACTTGGAATTGCTTTTTCTCTATGCAAGATGGGAATCCCATCAGCTGGACAGGGTGGAAATGTGGTAATGATTGTGTTACAAATTACAGAAAAAGAACTAAATTGCAAGCTGGTATCTTCTAAATAAAAAGGGGATGAAAAGGCTGTATCAACTACTTTTTTTGATAATTATAGATATCTGACTTGAAGTTTTTGACTGCACGCCTTCGTTGCAAGCTTTTCCTGTCTGTTTTAATATTTAGTCTCTGCATTTTGATTTCAATGGCTCACAAGAGTATTTCAAGGTGTTAAACATGTCTTTGCCAATGCTACCATGCAGGGCAAGTTTAAGAGGCATGATGTGAAAGTTGAATGGAAATAAATGTAGTTATGAAAACCTCAGTGTAGGAAATTATTTTCACTTTGATTTTTGTAATGAATATGCTGAATGATCTTTCCTAGATTGGAGTTGATGGATTTGGAAAATATTTATTAATGCAATTACCATTTTGAGTGCCTAAAATTATTGAAGGATACACAAAAAGATAGTTGTTCACTGTGCAGTAGTGAGTCACTAAGTATCATGTGTGGTGCTAAGTACAACTAAACAGATCTTTCCATCTAATGAATGCTATCAAATGCATTCATGAGTAGATGGTAAGAGTGTCTTCTGCTGCAACTAGTGGGTAATATTGTATGCTTTTTGGTAATTTGACAAGAACTGAGTTAAGTTTGGGAAGTGAATGGAAACTAGTATAACTCTATATAAGTGTTTCATGGAATGAAATTGAATATTATGGCAAAGAAGTTAGTTTTGGTATTTGAGTATTCTAGACATTGTAATAGGTGCATATGTGCAGAATGCTTAAACCATATTTAACATTCTCATAACATTCCGTGTGCTTGTGCATGGATGCTAGTAAGGCATTAGGTAAGCAAGATATCACTCCGAAACTAGCTGCTTAATGCTAAATCATGGAATATGAATCTTTAACTATTTAATCAAGGTGAAGTGAATGGTGTGTATCAATGTGCATCATTGTTTAGTTCTGCTGCCTCTGTTTCTCTCTTTATTTTCAGATGAATAACCTTTGCTGATACTTATATGTCTTGTCTGAATTTTTTTTTTTTTTTACATGGTCAAGATTTTATTTTAAGCAACATAAGCATTGAGTGCTTATTTCTGGTTGTTACCCTTCATAGCTTAATGTTTCACTATAGTTTTTTTTTTCTTTTTGGCAGAGAACCTTTTTGCGTTGGGTTACTGCACTATTGATATACCTGTCTCTGTCATCTTGTATGAGTTGCATATCGATTATGTCGGAGGGTGTTGTCTGAACTGGAAATGCTCAAGACAACTAGACTATATATGGCCGTATGCCTTCAAGAAGACATTCTAATGATGGAGCTTACACCTATCCACAGCATTGGAAGTAAAAGTTCTGTGAGGAGGACTCAGCATGAATTCTGGCCGCTTGGGGAGATTGATCCAAAAAATTCAAAGTTCCCCTGTGTATAGTTTGGACACCCCTCCCAGTTGTCTCATGGTTGGCACCTTTTATTGGACAGGTTGGCATACATGGAGGATGGTACTACTCTAGATTTTTCTGGATCCAACTTTGTGAATGTCAATGATTTTGGCATTTGGCTCCGTAGCCAGATACCTTCAATTAGACAGAGAGCAGGTACTTCTTAATGACTGCTATTGCTTGATACTGGTGTCAATTGGTTCTCAGTTAAGCCCCAAAATTTTGATAATACCTCCCTCCCCCTTCATTTTTCTTGAATACTAGAATG